AAGTGAGAAAGCTGGTTCTAAATGCTGAGCGAATGAAATATAGAACTCAAGGGAAACAGTATTGGCTTATTTATGATACCCATCAGCAAAGCACTGGATGATTTCTGTCAGCAGCTTCCTCTAGATTATAGATATTAAGCAGCATAAGTGATAAAAAAAACCAAGCCTTGTGGAACGTCATACATCAACTGCAGAGAGCTGAGCAGGCATTGCAATGATGACCCAAGAGTTTATCCTGAGAGAAAATGAACCACTTGACAGTCAGATCTGACACCTTTGCAACCTGGTCAAACCAGGGTGACAAAATGAATGTAAAAAAGGTCACCAAAGCGCCCCCAGTATACAGAGCAGAAAGAATTTACTGTCATCTTTCAGATCCAGATCACCTATGAAAGTTGCCAAAGCTGGAAACACCTGTTTACCTAGGACAGAAGTGTAAGTGACATGGTTTAAGAAAGGATGTAATTGTTCTGCCATGTCATGTTTCGTCCTGTTTGATCAAAGGAAAGATTTGAAATAGTGCATAAGTAACTCATGAGGGGATCTCATACATTTTGCAGGCAAAGAACAAAGTGGTGCCCCATATTCCCTGGACAGAGTTTGACCAAATGAGTAGCAGCCCCGGTGACGTGGTAGCATCCTCCAATGGAGAGGGACTGCAGGGGATGTTAGTTTAGGAGATTCGGGGGAAATGTAGCACAAGGTGGAGGATGCCACACCGCGTTGAGTCCCCTTCAGGGAAGATAAAGCAGGGTATTAATAATAATAATAATAATAATAATAATAATAATAATACACCCCCATATAAACTAAGATACATTACTCTTCCTAATTTTAGGACCACTGCCACCTTTAATGAAGGATGGATTTTCACTTCAAATGTGAAATGTTCTCTGATTTAAGCAACAGACATATAAGTGCCGCTCAGTGGATTTTTGAATACCAAAATGTTAAACATGTGATGACCTTCACAATTGCAAGGACACATGCCAATCTTCTTGGAGGATTCTGATACTTCTTGTTGAAGGCTTTCAGGACTGGAATCACTGGGGTGTTGTGTGGTTTTCTAGGGTGTATGGCCGTGTTAGACTAATTGAAGCTTCCTGCCAATCTTCAAAGGCAGCCCCATGTAGAGCGTGTTGCAGTAGTCTATTCGGAATGTAACAAGAGGGTTGCCCATTGTGGCCACCATGGATGCAGGAGATATCAAGCTATCTCAGCCCAACAGCTCCAAAAAAGCATCTTGCATCTGTTGCAAGAGATCTTTGGCTGTAAAAAGCCTGTTACTTTTTAAAGTGCAATGAGAGCAGAATTTGGGGGAGTTAACTTTTTGATTGCAAATCTCAGTCACAATTAGCCACTGATTAAATTGTTTGAAGGACTTTATAAGATGCAGTCCAAAATTAACTTTTAAAAGTTTTGTGTGGGATTAGTTACCTTTGAGAGCATATGCTTTTGTAGACTAGTCTGCTTCATCATAGAATCATAGAGTTGGAAGAGATCCCATGGGTCATCTTGTCCAACCCCTTGCCATGCAGGAAAAGCACTTTCCCTGACAGATGGCCATCCAGCCTCTGTTTAAAAGTTACCAAGGAAGGACCCAGAGAGTTCCACTGCTGAACAGTTTGTACAGTCAGGAAGTTCTTCCTAATGTTCAGGCAGAATCTAATTTCCTCTAATTTGAACCCATTGCTCTGAGTCCTTGTTTCAAGGGCAGCAGGAAACAAACCTGCTCCCTTTTCCTTATGACACCCTTTTACATATTTATACATGACTATCAAATCTTCTCTTCTGCAGGTCAAACAAATCTAGTTTTTCAAGGCACTCCTCATAGAGATTCATGGTCTCCAGACCTTTGATCATTTTAGTTGCCCTCTTCTGGACACCTTCCAGCTTGTCAATATCTCTTTTGAACTGTGGTGCCCAGAATTGGACACCGTATTCCAGGTGAGATTTAACCAAAGCAGAATACATAGACATCATGACTTCCCCTTGTGTTGTCAAAGGCTTTCATGGCCAGAATCACTGGGCCACTGTGAATTTTACGGGCTGTATGGCCATGTTCCAGAATACTCCTTTTGATGCAGCCCAAAATCCTATTGGCTCCTTTAGCTGTTGCATCACACTGTTGCCTCATGTTCAACTTGTTGTCAAAGAAGACTCTTAAGACCAGTCATATATGATGAAGAAGGCTTATGTCTATGAAAGCTTATGCTACTAAGCTTCTCTCAGCTACTTTCACAAGGTACTACCAAATCCCTTTGCATGCTGATCTAGACTAACATAGTTATGTTTTTTAATTCTCCCATTATTTTTAAACAAGTACAGCAATAAAGATTTGCTGGTGAATCCCTTGAATTCATTTTAAAATGATGCCATTGCTTGTAGAAGCATCTCCTTTGAAAAGGTGATGATCTTGGCAATGAACTTAGGTTCACATTATAGGATTATACCTCATTATTTAGTAATGAGCTTCTGCTAGGCTCCAAAGGGAAGGGGAAAAACTAATGCAATTATACATAACAGAGCAAAGGAGATGAATGATGATAAATGCATCATGTCCATCTTGGATGCAATTGCATTAAATAGTTCAGCCTCATGTCGGTATGTTAACTAATCAGCAACGTGATCAATTTGACTGTTGCTATTTTGGAGCAGTTAGCATTTTAAAAGAAACAGACACAAACTTGAATGCATCAAGAAAAGCTTTGAATCGTGCTATGATCCAACTTTGCAATGGAAATATAATTGTCTCATTTGTTTATCACCTTTTGGGGGGGGGGTCATAATTGAATTCATGAGCCTTTGCCACCACCCCCACAATTGTTTTCAAAGAGCCAGTGTCATTTTTGGTTGCCATGCAATTTCTTCTGAGCAAATTAGACTGTACTACAGGGCAGGCTCTTCCATAATGAATTCTGCTCTGTTTAGGCACTTCTGCCCCCTATTTATTTCTGTCCTTGCTGCCATTGGATCCTGGAATTTTATGTCCTTTATCAGAGTTCATTCTCAGAGAAGGCATTTTCCGGCTACTTGCAGATGCTCATCTCTCTTTACAAGACTAGCCTGCCATTGATCAGCTGAGTGTGCGACAGTGGACTCTCTTCAGAGTGACAGAGTAGAACATGGTATAGATTTAATTTGAGGCACAACTCTCTAGTGTTGTCTACTACAATATATTTCTAAAGCTCAGGCTCAGTGTTGGAGTATGTGATTACACTTGACAGTTTTAGTTAAAATTATCATTTGAATTAAAAATGTTGTTTTCATATTTTACAGTGCAATCCTAATACAAATAGTAAAATTAGATAAAAGGGAATGTTTATTCCGGATGATTAATATATTTTATTTCTCACAATGATACTTTCTCAGTGATGCTACAGTAAATTCTGCAAGTTGAAGTACCTTCAGTGACCAATCTCAGAGCAAAACATGTGAAGCAGAAGATATGTAGTTTAAGACCATCATGTAATATGTTAGGTGGATATCTTTCAGCACTTGATGAAATATCTCTTCTAAGAGTGTAACTAACATATAACTACAGCTGTTTCTTGAATAGGAAGTGCACAACTGCTTACACTGTCCCCCAAACATGGATGAGCTCAGGGAAGCTCCAGTGCGTTGACTTTTCTTAACAATGTTATCCAAAATTATGAATTATGATACAAAGCTCCATTGGGACATACAGTGACCCCATATTGCCTTTCCATTTGTTCTACAGTAACCTTTCATTAATTTCCTTGGTGTGTTGCCCCACTGCACCTCGGACTTCAGGATGTAATCCCATAATTATCATAATTTCCTCACAAAGCACTGGGAAGACTCAGGAACACACAATGGGTTTGCACAAGAGACTTTGGATTTTTTCCTGTTTCTCCATGATGTGATCTGACTTATTCTGGGAATGCATCCTCATTCATGTCACCAGACCAGACCCATTCCTGAAATTGCCATTTCCTCAAGCACCCTTTTGTTCTTCTGGACTGGCACCCATTGTATTAAGTGGAGTTGAGATATTGACACCCATTGCAACCCACATTCTCTTGCCCCATCACATTGATTTTCAATAGCACATCTCTCATGAGCAGATAAATAAATTGACACAAACTTCAAAATAATCCAATGACAGTTTATTGAACTTTGCCGCTATGACAGAACCCACCAGCAATGATGTGGCATGGAGCCCTGGACCAATCAGGGAGCAGATCTTGGCCAGACAGTTTCTGGACCAATCAGGAGCCAGCACAATAGTCTGGAATAGCTATCAAAATATAATAAATATACTATGTATTCATAATCGAGGTATGTCCATTCTTTGGGGTGCTGTCTCCAATGAGACATCACCACAAATAAAGCCTCTGATTTTGCCTTCAGCCTATCCATGTCTCATCTGGTCTTCTAAACTGGAGACACCAGGCTCCAAACCTACAGTTCTTACAGAAGTTGAAATCACACAACAAAGCCATTAATCCCTAGGCCAACTCATATGGCCTATGTAAATGGGTCCATGGAAGCCACCCACAGGTACTCTTACAGATGTTTGGTAATATAAAAGAGCTGGAAGCAAGAAATGAATGTTTTTATCACAGGTAGCATGCCATTTTCAGTCCCTCTATACCTGAAAGTATAGCAGATCTGTGGACAACTAGTGATCCTTCTGCTATTGTTGAGTGACATTCCTATCAGATATAACTGGCATAATCAGTGTTGAGAGATCACAGGAGTTGTAGTTTAAAATATCTGGAGAGCCATTCTGATTTCTAATCAAAGTTGCTGCATTATTCCTGTGAAGTGGTTTAGTCTGTAAAGACTGCTCTCTTAAAACATAATGTTTAGATCTTGACAGTGACATAGTTAATTCGACAAGATATTTCATATATAGGGGAACCGCTATAGTCGTTATAGTTTTCTTCTTTGAAGCAAAGAACATTTGCTTCTTCCCTTTTCCAGAATGAATATTTAATCAATTTTCTGTTGCTCTCTTTTACATCTTTATTTAGTTTGAAGAGGGTGTTTTGGATGCTTGCCTATACGTGATGGACAGAGCAGAATTGGATCTTTCAGGCCGATGGAATCCACTGAAAATCAGTCGTGTGGGCTCTGCAATGGTAGGCAATGAACATGTTAGGGGTGCAGAATATGGAGTTTGATTTGTCACTCATACATTATAAATCTTGTTCCACCTTGGTGCATGCTGAATTCTTTTGCTTATATATTTAGTTATTTGTTTTGCTTATATAATTTGTCATTTAAAGTGCAAGGCCTGGTTCTACAGTTCAGAAGACTAATATGACCTCAGACAACAGATTTTGGAGGATCACTGAAAAACAGTCACTCTTTTTTATTATTTCGGTGCTGCATACAGGGGGCAGCTGATGGGGACACTTCACAATCACCCTTGCAGTGGTTTTCAGGGTGCCTGCTCCACCGTGCACCATGATTGGTTAGGCAAAAGGCAAATGCATAAGTGTCTGGGAACCTGTTTTTTAAAGGGCCTTGTATAAGTGGACCCCCTTCCTTTCCCCTTCTTCTCTTTCCCTCATCAGGGAAAAACTCAGTAGATGCTGGGCATGTGACTACTGACTTAATCCCACAGAACAGGTCAAGTGTTTGGGAGAGTAGGTTTACCATACAGCTCAGGCATACTCCATTTTGAAGTTAAATGGGTAATTTTCCTACTTCCATCACACACTAGCAAACTATTCATTTATTCAAGAGTTTACGGGTGATTTGCCATCACATTGTAGAGGGTTGTTCTGGCCACTGTCCCTCCCCAGTTTTCTTTGTGAAAAGAAACACCTCCTCTCCTGGACTATGATTTTTGTTCCTGGGTTATAAATGTCATTTTCTACTTGCTTCTATCATAAACATGTGAGGAAAGCTTATTGAACTGCAAAAACTTTGTCTTTGCAGGAGGGAAATCCTCCTGCACATTTTTCTCTCGTTTCTCAATGACTGAATATCTTGTAGAGTCTCCACCAATTTAGCATAGTTTGTGGGCACAAAAACAAAGTTTCTGGAACATAGTTTATGGAGGGAGTGAGGGAGGCAAACCCCCAGAAAATGCATGAGACAGAAAGGAACACAACTCTTCTCTGTCGATCTTCCCTCCTCCATGAGCGAAAGATAAAGGTGGAACTTTTTCTCTAAGAGGCATTCAGCTCCTTCCACAAATTGCATAACTGTAGCATTTTAAAGTTGAGAACAACGAATACCATCACATGACAGAATTGGCCATTTTGCCCATTTCTGTCTGGATAATTTGCAAAAAAAAGTCACTTGCCAACCAGCTTAGAAAGTGTCTGAACAGATTTTATTTATTTATTTTGTTTTATATCCAGCCCTCTCTTCCTTGTAGAAGGACTCAGATATCCCTTTGCAACCCCCTTGAAATGCCAAGATATCTCTTGAAGCCTACATTATGTGATGAACACAGTAGGTTGCTGTTTCTTAAGGGGGTGGCTCAGTGCTATTTAATGTATGTGATGAAGTGGCAGTTCTCTATTCCCAATGGTGACTGTGGGCAGCCGGCAGCAAAAAGGTTCAGATTTTGGAGGATTTTAGATTTCTTGGTAAGGAAGATTCAATCCGCATATACATGTGAAGATTTTTTAATCATTATGGCTTTTTTTAGTCCTTTCTTTGGCCAGTGAAAAGTTGCTACACATGTGTGTCTTTTTTTGATTTGTCTGAACAGCAACATGTAACTATCAAAGTTCTGTTTGGTACAGTAATGACTTTTTATGTTATGACCTATTTTTGACAACAGATTAGGGTCTCACCCTGAAACCCCTTCAGGTTTTCCTGCTGCATACTTATCTCGGGGTTCACAAGAAGTCGATTTTCTAATTAGAAACCAGTAGTTAATCCAGCCAAAAGCTTTTCAATGAGAGCTGTGATTTATTTGGCAAAAACAGCAGCTTGGTGTTAACATAATTACAAGGTACAGAGCAAGGAAACTTTTCTACCCAGCCCCCACTGATTTGTTTCAAATTGCTGGGAGGAAATGTATTGCTCACTAATAGCGATCCATTTAGTCATTAGTCAGCAAAACTCTTACTTCATCCAACCTTACCTCAAGCAAACTTAGACAAGAAAAATCTTTCTTTTTTTTCTTGTTGGGCTAATCACAGTGAACCTATTTTTTTCTCCATACACCAGTTATTCAGAAGGAATGATACATAAATGAATGGAATTATGGGGATGTAAAACTGGAATAAATCCTTGAAATTTGATGTCTAAGGTTTCTTGTAAAAAATAGGTCAAATTTTCTCTCTAGGACATTATAATTAGCGAATGAATGTTGGTAGTTTGGGGCTGAACCACATGAACATTTTGATGTGATAGGGAATCTACAAAGAACAGGTTTTGAGTTTATAGCACAATGTGAGAATAGCATGTTGAGACTTTCCAGTTTTGTACTGTCAACCAAATCATGAAAGAACAAATGAATTCAACATGTGCCAGTAGTAGGACATTCACAGAAGCCATGGTGCATGTTAGCCAGGGTTTGCTGCTGTAACTGCAACACATCCTCTAAATCAGTGGTTCTCAACTTGTGGGTCCATAGGTGTTTTGGCCTACAATTCCCAGAAATCCCAGCTAGCTGTTAGGATTTCTGGGAGTTGAAGGCCACAACATTTGGGGGCCCACAGGTAGAGAAACACTGCCCTAGATCAGTGGCTCCCAACCTTTGATCCTCCAGGTGTTTTGGACTTCAGGTCTCACAGCTGGTAAACTGGCTGGAATTTCTGGTACCCTACTGGAGTACCAAAGGTTGGGAACCAATACTCTAGACATTTAAGCATACCACAGATTATTCCCCTCCCCTTTCTAGTTTGTTTCTGTCCCCTTCCTCACAACCCATATTTTTGTTACTGTTTAAGGTTATATACTGGGAACAATCCATAAGTTCAAATGTCACATCAACACATGATTAAAACTGAAGTCAACAGGCTTCAGATTGTGGTTGAGGGCTGGTTAATAGATACCTCCCTATAATTCCTAGACTTCTCTGAAGGCTGTGATAGGCCTTTAAAAGCTACTTAGGCTATAATTAAGCATAAGTAGCTTTTTGTTGATGACTTTTTGCACTCTATTACCATTACTAACTAGCAACTATTTCAGCAGGGAAGTGATGAAGTAGTACATCTCACATCTCAACTGGCTGTTTGTGAAACTTGAACTTTTTTATATGAATATATATTATGTGCATATTATTGCAAATAATCTATTTTTCCTTTAGATTAATGCTAAAGATGATGAGGGTGTGATTGTCGGGTCATGGTCCAATGTTTATGATTATGGAGTTGCACCATCAGCTTGGACTGGAAGTGTGGACATCTTGTTGGAGTATCATAGTTCCAGAGAGCCAGTACGATATGGCCAGTGCTGGGTCTTTGCAGGAGTGTTCAACACATGTAAGTGTGAGATGCAATGTGGAGCCAACAATTGTGTTCTGTTATTCTAGGACATTGTCATTCTAGTGCTTTTAATTAAATGACTCAAAGATGGGTTCATCCCTTCTGATAGTTAACATCATTAATCATAATCTCAATTTAAAATAGAAGAAAAAATATTTTGGTTTCAATTGAAATTGTGACTCCAAAATTTCATATCATTGCCACCAAAATTGCTGTTTTAATGCACAGCAAAGCTAAAATTGGGCAGTATGGAGAAAGAGCAGTTCTACTATTACTCTAAGCCAGCAACCTGCAAAAACCAATATAGCTTTTGATTCACCAAGTTTTCCTTATCATAGGAACTGCCAGCCAATGTAACAGAATGGGAGAAGAATCTACAGCAACATTATGTCACATTTTAGGCAGTATTTTATTAGTGGCATGCAGTGGTATAACATGACTTTATGCCTGCATATGTCTCTTTTGGTTTAATGAAGAAGATGGTATTTCCTTCATCTCTCCACAGTGATTAAATCCCTTGCTCCTTGTACTTATCACAGTCACGGCAACCTATTTTGTTACTGGTGAGAGCAGTAGGAGATTGGAAGGGTGGGTGGTTGTGTTCCTGTGGGCAGATACAAGGCTGTAGGCCAGTGGTTCTCAACCTTTTTGACTAGGGACCACTTTGACCAGGGACCACTCTCCATCAATAGTACCAAAAAGGTTACGAATAAATCTTTGGTCAAATTTAGATTCGGTTTGGTTATTTGGGGTGCTGATTCAGAAAATTGCATTGGATAGATCACATCAACTCTAGTTTTTGATACAGAACATATGACATCCAGTAGTCGCCATCTGCTCGCCCACAGAAAACCATATTTAATAAGCCTTGGCACTATAAGAGGGCTTCACAAGACCAATTACTCTTGTTGCAATTGTGTAATAATGTTGAGGCCCTAGACCATATTTTAGTTCTTGCAGATCACTGGTGGTCCATGGACCACAGGTTGGGAACCATTGCTGTAGGCAATTCCAGAACACTAGAGACACAAAGTGATCGCATCCTTGAATTCTAACCTTACTTTCCTGTTAATATATATAGAATGTAGCTTTGAGCCTTACAAATACCTTGTTAAATAGGAGACTATAGCTGAAAGAGAATGGAATACCTAAAGTTACCTAGTGAACATTCTAGCAAAACAAAACAAAAAAGAGCTCCAGTGCTTTGTCCCACATTTGATAAATGAAGATATGAACACAATATAACATTCTTGAAGCTGAAATGAGCTCTGAGCTTGTTGCTGAAACTTAAATAATGACACTCCAGTATTTAAAATAAAGATGAGGCACTTTAGATATTAAGTGTTTTGAGCATTTTGAGAACAGATTCAAATCTCCACTTGCCCATGGAAACCTACTGGGTGACCTTGGGAAAGCCACACTCTCTCAACCTCAAAGGAGGGCAAAGCCAAGCCCCCTCTGAACAAATCTTGCCAAGAAAACCTCATGATATATTCAGTGTAGGGTTTTCATAAGTTGCCAATTACTTGGAAGTCACAGAACAACAAAAACTCCTGATGTCATTAGACTGCAACCCATAGCAGTTCTAGCCAGGATTCTCATAGGAATTGTGACCCTCCAGATGTTGTTGAATTACATCTCCCCCATTTCTGCCTCACAACTATCAATATCCATTATTCCCATCTATTCTGTTTAAAATAAGTATTAGATGGCTGAAATCTGATATAGAATGCTGGAAATCCTTCTTCTGTTGTAAAATGACTTGGTTAAGACAAATATCCAAGACACTAGCTTGGTGGGTTTTTTTAAAAAAAATCAAGATATTAGACTATACAACTCTGTTTGGACATATAATACGTCATGTGGAAGAGAATCAAGATAACTGTGTATATCCCAGTTGGCAGAACTCCAGTGCAAATCTAACTTCCCCTTCATATTCACGCCAATATTAGTACATATTGCCAACTATTAAAACACGTCTGCTTCTTGACTAATCTGTCTTCCCTTTCTGTGATATGTAAACACACATTGATAGTGTATTTTGACACTGAAGCAGGCAAAATCCTGATTTGCCAGAAACCATCCCAATTAACCCATTATCCTTCCAATTTTCAGCTGCTTTAAAAATGTCCCAGATTGTGTCCTCTCTTCCTGCTTTTCCTCTTTGTCCTCAGCATATCTCAGTTGCTGCAAATTGAAATTACAGTGTGAAAGTGGATTGTACACAGTTAATCATGCAAACCGAATGAAAGCTCAGTCACTTAAGTCAGTAAGAGAGTCTTGTTCACATCCACAACCACATGACAAGATAAATTTACATAAATACTGCAAGAGTATGTTAAAGTAAAGATCTAACAATGTACTGAAATATCACAGCTATCTGCAAATAAATTCACATATTATCTTGTTGATTCTGTACATCTTTCACACTTCAAGCAATCATACTTGGCTTGTTGCCCCCAATAACAGCGATACTGTGCTGAAGGGAACAAGAAAAGGAGAAATATATAACTCTGATATTTGAAGGGGGGACAGGAGAGTTTAAGGCAAACTACCAGCCTGTTGCTTTTCAGTTGTTTTAGAGTTCCACAATTCTCAACAATGCTACTGGGATTAATGGCAGTTTTTGACCAAAACACCTGGGCTTATGAGTCCTACTGCAACCATGTAAATACTGGCTGGATGTATTTACATGTCTGAAAATATTGGCTGGATGTATTTATATGTCTGGGAAAAAACCTGGAATTTGAGTGAAGATAGCAGCAAGTTGAAAGAGAACAAGTTAGAAGTGGTAACTTGCAGACACAGGGAGATATTGCATTGTCACTCTTAGTTACAAATTGCTAACACCAAGAGAAGGCAGCAGATTTGGGAACTTCATATCATCCGGTGGTGCTGGATCAACCTTCTGGCACCATCTGATCTCAGAGTCCAGTGCTGTGACATTTCCTTCTCACTCTGACCTGATGTTCCTCTGGCACAGGATGCAGGAAACTATCTTACAATAGTTCACACCTAAGAATGAAGACCAGTTGAGTCTTCCATGGTATCTATACATCAAGATGCCAAGACATACAAATATTATCAAACATCTGCTCATCAGCTTCTAATATTGTCAAGGGGAAAGACTGGACTACAGCCATAATCTAGGCTGTATGTTCTCTAGATTAGGCCCATGCAATGGTGGATACAACCCATCCACATTGCACACTACTTTTCCAAAGCCCAACATGGTTTTAAACAACAATGAACTTCTCAACATTAAAAATCACACCACATATACATTAATGAATAACAATTCCATTTCAGCAAAACTCTAGGGAGAGACTACACAGCCTACCAATAAAATCCACATCCATTGGCAATCACATTAATCTTTGAAAACACACATTTGGTGTTTAATATGTGCATATCTTTAATCAATTACATCCAGTTTTAATTTTCAGCTATTTGGGCTTCTTACACTTTACGGTTGCAACACTTTCGCTTACCAAGGTTACCATATTGAATATTTTGGGACAGTCATCTGTTAAAAATGCTAAAACATTCTGAAAAAGAAGGAGCAAAGCCATTAATCTTGAAATTGTCAGCTGAATTATTTCCAGTGAGTCCTGATGATTCGTGTGGTAGAAGTCTGGGAGGGCATTTGAATTAAGCTTAATCAATAGATGCATATAGTATTGAATGCATCCAGATAATTTGTCATCAGACAATTAAAATGAATGTGTGATGTTACTAGTCTGCATAAAGCACAATAGCCATTTCCAGACTCCACAATATTGATGACTGAAGGATGGTCACTGAACTTAGTAGAATCTTTAAGGGGTCTTAGTGTAGTTTCTAATATTCTACTAAACTCCGCAAACTATTGAGCTGTCTTACACGTAAGATAGTCAGTGTCATTGTAGATGCAAGGCTAATTTGTCCATAATGGCCATTTTGTGTTACAATGTCCTTGCTTACTTGTTGTTATGTGGCTTCCAATCAGTTTTGGCTTGTGACAACATTATTTAAGGGTTTGTTTGTCCAGATTACTTCAGAGGAGATTTCCTTTCTCTTAGGTTAAGACAGGGTGATTTGCCCAAGATCACCCAGTGAATTTCCATGGCCAAACCCTGATTTCCCAGTTTATATCTCAAGAGAAAAATGTGAGGGAGCAATTTTCTGTCTGTCTAGCCAGCTAGCCACCAATTCATCCATCTGGTTATAAAAAGCAACATTTAATGAAGATATAACTGATTGTATGGTATCTAATTGACTGCTCCCATCACTTAGGGAAGAACATACAGCCTTTGAAGAATTAATGGCTGACATCTCTCAGTAATAGATCTTCAGTCGCATAGCTGGAAGGAAACCATTGTCTGTAGTTTTGGAGCCATTATACCTAGTGATTTCCACATCAGTTGATACATTTCTTGATTTTAGTATAAACTTTAAAGAAAATATCCAAAATCCTCAAATAGGCTCCCAACCCTGGATGGCTCATTTAGTCAGATTAAAACCTAGAACAAATTAATTAGGTTGCTGTGAGTTTTCTGGGCTGTATGGTCATGTTCCAGAAGCATTCACTACTAATGTTTCGCCCAATCTATGGCAGGCATCCTCAGACGTTGTGAGGCCTGTTGGAAGGCAAGTGGGGTATATCTATGGAATGTCCCGGGTGGGAGAAAGAACTCTTGTCTGTTGTCTTCTCTGTGTGGTCTGACATGGTGGTTGTTAGAGTGATCCAGCATTTCTGTGTTATCATATAATATGCTGTGTCTAGGTTGGCTCATCAAATGCTCTGCTATGGCTGACTTTTCTGATTAAATTAGTCTGCAGTGCCTTTCGTGTTCCTCAATTCGTGTTTGGGCACTGGGTTTGGTGGTCCCTATGTAGACTTGTCCACATCTGAATGGTGTACAGTACACTCCTGCAGAGGTGAGAGGATCCCTTTTGTCCTTTGCTCAATGTAGCATTTGCTGGATTTCCTTAGTGGATCTGTAATAGTAGTAGTA